TGTTACATCGCTGAGATTTATGACTGTTAGAAGACCCCGAAATCAATAAGTCTTCATGTAGAGAAAATCCCCGAGCTGTCAGGAAATGAGACGCGTGCGTCTACGAGTAGTGATCCGAGGAGCGTGGCCGCCCTTCAAATCTTCAGAGTTTTCATTGATTTTCAAGGTGGAGAAGAAACCCGAGATAGAGAGCAAATCTGATATAAAGCTGCTGCATGTATTCTGCTTGTATGTGATGCTGAGCCTCCATGATTGAGCTGAAATACACTGAATGAAAGGGGCGGGGCCAGGGACAGTCAGGCTGGGGAGGAAAGGGCTATATGGTACTGGACATCCTCCAGATAGAGGCGGGCTCTATCTGACATGTTGCAGCTTCTAATGCACATTGTGAGAAACTCCCAGCGTGCAGTGACATCAGAGGAAGCCGTTTCAGTCCAGGAGAGGAGCCGCTACGACTGAAGGGGAGGACGGAGGTCTGATAGAAGACTGAAGGGAAGGACGGAGGTCTGATAGAAGACTGAAGGGGAGGACAGAGGTCAGATAGAAGACTGAATGGAAGGACGGAGGTCAGATATAAGACTGAAGGGGAGGATGGAGGTCAGATAGAAGACTGAAGGGAAGGACGGAGGTCAGATAGAAGACTGAAGGGAAGGACGCAGGTCAGATAGAAGACTGAAGGGAAGGACGCAGGTCAGATAGAAGACTGAAGGGAAGGACGGAGGTCAGATAGAAGACTGAAGGGAAGGACGCAGGTCAGATGAAAATGATTCATAGGAAACCTTCAGCCAAGTTCATTAACCCCTCGCCGACCTCGCACAGGCGCTGCTGTGGAACTCATCAAGTTGATGCAATTAGATAAAGAGCAGTGCGGGATTCATCTTTACTGATCGGGCTGCTCAGACCTGGAATGTGATTGGTTGCTGTAGGTCACTGCGCTGTGCAAACCATCATTGTTGTCTGCAATGTATATTGATCCTTCCTAGCTCCTCTTACCTGCACACATGGCCTCGTCTGCCGCCAGACCGGCCAGAAGTCACGTCACTTCTGGCCAGTCCGACAGACGAGCAGCGTCGCTGATGGGGCTCTAGCTTGTCTCAAAGCCGCTGGAGTGGCAATGCTGGGGCCCTGTGCTGCTAGGGCCAGGCCTCCCCCTCCTCGCCCTTCACCGTCGGCCGATAGTCATATAAGGGACCCGGGCGGGCCCCCCAGGCTGCCCGGGCTCCTTACATGAGTATCGGCCGTACCCCCCCCGATGGCTGCCCTGTGTATGTGGGTCTAAACCTCTGCTGAATGGGTGGCCCCGTACCCCTCTTAGGGGCCACAAAACAGTGACCAAGGATTGGCAAATGTAGATGTATGGAGAGGAGATCACCAGATTTGTATTTGTAAAGCCAACATGTTTCGGGGGTTATAGGCGCCTTCATCAGGGTTAAAATGATGGTGTGAAGGTGTTATGGGGAAGGTGCAGAGAGTCCGGACAGATATCATTGTACATTGTTATTGGAATATGTCGCCTGTAATTGGGGTTTCTGTGTTTCCTCTGCAGTAAAGGGTTCCTGGTCTTGCTGGTCATCCTGGACGCAGTGTTCTGCTACGTGTGGGGGAGGACATTATCAGCGCACCCGTACCTGCACCAACCCAACCCCGTCCAACGGAGGCGACATCTGCATCGGACTGCACACAGAGGAGGCGCTGTGCAACACCTACCCCTGTGAAGGTAACCGCTGGGGCAACAGGGCATTTGTTTTCTGTGGCTTCTGGGTCTGCACCCATGCTGTGCCCATTATGAGGGGCTCCCACCATCCCTGTGCTGAGTTCCCGGGTCTGTACACCTGCTGTGCCCATTATGAGGGGCGCCCACCATCCCTGTGCTGAGTTCCCGGGTCTGTACACCTGCTGTGCCCATTATGAGGGGCGCCCACCATCCCTGTGCTGAGTTCCCGGGTCTGTACACCTGCTGTGCCCATTATGAGGGGCGCCCACCATCCCTGTGCTGAGTTCCCGGGTCTGTACACCTGCTGTGCCCATTATGAGGGGCGCCCACCATCCCTGTGCTGAGTTCCCGGGTCTGTACACCTGCTGTGCCCATTATGAGGGGCGCCCACCATCCCTGTGCTGAGTTCCCGGGTCTGTACACCTGCTGTGCCCATTATGAGGGGCGCCCACCATCCCTGTGCTGAGTTCCCGGGTCTGTACACCTGCTGTGCCCATTATGAGGGGCGCCCACCATCCCTGTGCTGAGTTCCCGGGTCTGTACACCTGCTGTGCCCATTATGAGGGGCGCCCACCATCCCTGTGCTGAGTTCCCGGGTCTGTACACCTGCTGTGCCCATTATGAGGGGCGCCCACCATCCCTGTGCTGAGTTCCCGGGTCTGTACACCTGCTGTGCCCATTATGAGGGGCGCCCACCATCCCTGTGCTGAGTTCCCGGGTCTGTACACCTGCTGTGCCCATTATGAGGGGCGCCCACCATCCCTGTGCTGAGTTCCCGGGTCTGTACACCTGCTGTGCCCATTATGAGGGGCGCCCACCATCCCTGTGCTGAGTTCCCGGGTCTGTACACCTGCTGTGCCCATTATGAGGGGCGCCCACCATCCCTGTGCTGAGTTCCCGGGTCTGTACACCTGCTGTGCCCATTATGAGGGGCGCCCACCATCCCTGTGCTGAGTTCCCGGGTCTGTACACCTGCTGTGCCCATTATGAGGGGCGCCCACCATCCCTGTGCTGAGTTCCCGGGTCTGTACACCTGCTGTGCCCATTATGAGGGGCGCCCACCATCCCTGTGCTGAGTTCCCGGGTCTGTACACCTGCTGTGCCCATTATGAGGGGCGCCCACCATCCCTGTGCTGAGTTCCCGGGTCTGTACACCTGCTGTGCCCATTATGAGGGGCGCCCACCATCCCTGTGCTGAGTTCCCGGGTCTGTACACCTGCTGTGCCCATTATGAGGGGCGCCCACCATCCCTGTGCTGAGTTCCCGGGTCTGTACACCCGCTGTGTCCATTATGAGAACAGTCACCCCGCTGGTCCCAAATAGTGTCACCCGGGTGGGGGCCGCACCCCCCTTGTGACACCACTGCCCCCGCCGCCTCATTTTTGGGGCCTTTCTTTCCTGGCCTCGGCCCGTCTCCTGGTCTCATAACACTAAATAAAAAGAAATGGTGAGAATTTCACTTCGCCGTTATGAAGAGAACGTTTTTATATAGAAAAATGTGTTTACTCCGCTCGAGAATCTCCCCGCAGCGCGCGCCGCCATTGAGGGAGGAAACACAACATCTGATGGTGAAATGTTAAGTATTCGGGGTGAACGGAGCGAGAAGAAGATGCGGCGTCGGCGGCGGACAAGCGCTCGATTGTGATTACTGCGCGGCATATGGCTCGTGTCAGTCTGACTCGGAGTGTTAATTGGCCGCTTTTCTCATTTCCATAAGCACGCCGCGGAATTTGCGTCGCGCGGAATCCGTGGGGCGGAGGGGGCATCTCTGACCCGGGCCTAACTTCGTTTGACAGACGCGCGGCGAGTTTGGAATCGGATCGGCGTCCCCGCGTCACGTCGCTTGCGGGTAAACAAAGAGCGATGGCTCTGGAAGTGCGCCGCCACGGTTATAAATTATTCATCCTCCTCTCGGACGGCGATGAAGTTCTGCGGCGACTTCCGCGCGCTCGGCTCCTGTATATTACAGGTTCGGCGTGTTTGATTAACCCGAGCCGCGGCTTTGATAAAAAAAGATCAGTTGCGATCTAATCCTGTTTATCAAACCGCGGAAAAATCCGCCTGCGCCGCGGCCGCCCTTCCGAACGTTCTGCTCCTTTTTGATGAGGCGACGTAGGAGGAATTATGTAGAGCAGACTTGTAATCACCGCTTGTAAGATCCGCCGGCAGCTGACATTTATTTTGTGTGATTTTTTTTTCTTTTTTTTATTTACTTGACAAATTTTGTAATAAATACATATTTTATCAGTCGTCTCGTTAAATGATTCCCGCGACATCCGGCTGGGGAATTCTCGCCCGCGCTACAAGTTATGGTGATTGAATTTGGGATGTTAAGGACCTGGCGGTGACACTTCCCCCGGGGGTGGAAGGGAAGGTTGTTCGAGACGCAGCGACTGCGGGGCGCTTTCCTGAATAACCAATGATATCGTAGACGCGCCGCCGCCGCCGCCCTGATATCCGCGACTCCCGCCATCCCTAAACAGACTTATAAGTCCCAGAACGTGAATTATTCTCAGGAATCTCGGTGAGGTGTGAGAAGAATACATTCTGGAGTGCGATCAGCTCAATAATATAAACAGAAGATGCACTATATTGCCAAAAGTATTGGCCCCTAAAGGGCGGAGCCAACTTAATACTGATCCCTACGGACTAAGACTGGGATGCCATTAAAGTTCATGTGCGTGTAAAGGTGTCCCAATACTTTTGGCAATAGAGTGTATATTGTATTTTCCTTGTATAACACAAATGTATCAATTCCTAAACATGGAGGAAATGTAACAAATCAGATGTGCGCTGTCAGGCTGTGCACTGCAATAGGGAGAGGCAGCTAGAATCTGATTGTTGAATAGTAGTCGCGCCTCCTCCTTTTTCCGCCAGGCTTGTGTCGCTTCCTTACGCTGTTGCGCTTCCTCTCTTGCAGGCGGCTGGGCGGATTGGTCGGAATGGAGCATGTGTCACGAAGACGGGACGCAATATCGCCATCGCTACTGCGACATACACAACCCCGGGCCCACGCAGTGTGTGGGGAACAGCACGCAGTACAGAGAGTGTATATACAACGAGATCCCAGGTACAGTATATATATATATATATATGATATACACGGAGCGGCCTCCTTATAAAGACCGCAAACGTTTTAAATGTTACCGCCTCGAGCCGAGTTCCTTCTCTCCATCGGCAATGATGGCGGTCGTAGGGATTACGGTGGAGAGAATGTCGGTGAAATTGGTCAGTTCGGGATGATTCCTCTCGGTGTCGGAAACACGTTAACACAATGGAATGAGACTATCACCGGTGATTGGTGGAGCTTTGCCCAAATACAAACTGATTGAACAATTGGCGTCTATGGCTGCAGGACCTCTGGTAGCAATTATTTCAGCTGTGCCATTAATATCCGGACAATGAGACAATGTAACCACCTAGAGAACAAGGGACTCGCGGAGCAATACAACTGTGTAGGGAAGGATTAAAAATTCTGTCAGTTTGCCTCTGTGCATGAGCTTCCTATAATAAAGGGTGACTGGTCTTGTCTCCGCCCCCTCCTGTAATAAAGACCGGTCACTGCCGCTCTCTCTCCTTGTGCAGGGTGACTGGTCTTGTCTCCGCCCCCTCCTGTAATAAAGACTGCTTTCTCTCCTTATGCAGGGTGACTGGTCTTGACTCCGCCCCCTCCTGTAATAAAGACATGTCACTGCTGCTCTCTCTCCTTGTACAGGGTGACTGGTCTTGTCTCCGCCCCCTCCTGTAATAAAGACCGGTCACTGCTTCTCTCTCTCTCCTTGTGCAGGGTGACTGGTCTTTGCTCCGCACCCTCCTGTAGTTTTTGCAGGCTGCCTGTAGTGGGCGGAGCCTGCTGAGTCCCTCCCACAGCTCTGCTCTCTGCACAGGCTATGTACTCTACAGTGGTGATGTCACTGATACTTGTACAAGGTAATATCTGGGTTTGTAAAGGCATGTGGTTGACACAAACTGGATTTATATCCTTTGTTGCAATTG